TTTAATGATCTGATCTTTTGAAGAAGTGAGCACCCAATTACAATTTTGATTCCATTTGACAAAAAACACCCAATTCTTGTGACCATGTCTGCACATTTATAAACGCCAAGTTGTATTTATTATATTTAAATGGAAGTGAATCATTAAATTTTCATGGAAGCAAATCTCGTCTTTAAGTGAAAATGTGTTCCAACCCACAACGAACAAAAGTTTTTCCCTAATTTTGCAAACCAAAGTTCACAAGGCTTTCCTTGCCACCTATAACCGTTCCGGTACGTAAAACATCATAACAACACTGCATAGCAATGAAGCAAAGTGCTGGATATGTAACACAATTCTTACAACCTGAAACAAGTAAAGATTTTGTAGGGTGCCAGTCAACACTCTTTACATCCCATAGTGATTATAATATCCCCTAGTGAGTAAAGATTTTGTAGGGTGCCAGTCAACACTCTTTACATCCCATAGTGATTGCAACATCCCCTAGTGATTGCAATTTTCTGGCGGTGAATGGACTTTGATATCTGGTTTACATATTGCTTTTAAATCAAAAGCAAAAAAAAACAAAAAACAAAAGGAAAAAGAGTTCATAGACTGCTTATTGGCTTTTACAGGATTTGAAGAACCTAAGGGCCGAACTGTACTCTGCTGCAGAACACTTTGAACTCTCTTACACCAATGACAATCACAAACAAACGTGAGCGCCTTGAGTTGATCGAATTGATCAGATTTGGCTTCATATTTTCTTCAAGAAATACCCATGCTTATGGTTTGTTTTTTGTTACTCGAAATCTGCAGGGTGGTGGACACCTTGAAGGATTTTGCTGTTAGAGCCCTTGTTAACACAGTAGACCACTTGGGTTCAGTAAGCTACATGGTCAACGGCCTCCTCAACGAAAAGGTCGAAGAGGTTTCAGAAACAGAGTTCCGACTTGGATGCATGGAGCAGGTCTCTCTATCTCTCACTCTCTGATTAGAATGGGTTGTATCAATTTGGAAATTGAGAACTTCAAGCTAATATGTCTTAACCAGACTGGGAACTTTTAGTGCATCTTCCAGTAGAATGCATGAATCTAATCAAGTAATCAGAAGATGTGTTATCAAATGGGGGATGCAGAGTCCATGAGGTGGTTTTCTGTGGTATAATGCACGCACATCACCTCCAATGTGGTGAATAAACCTAAAAAATCTGTAAAAATTTAAAATATATAAGAATGCATAAAAAACTTAAATATATATGATTTATGTGATGGTAGGCATTTTAGTATTTATCTTTAATATATTAGTTGTTTGAGTCACCATATAGCATGATAAACAGTAAAATAATTTGTTCTCTATTATTCTCTAAGAGGCTAATATGATTAACATGTAACATAGAGTACTCCATTCCATCACATTCATTGAATTAAATAGTCACGAGTCATGACCCATGAGGTAACACCCAAAATTACTTCATAATCACAATGCACCAGTACATATTAGCTCTGACCTCCAAAGTCTAAAGGTCCAAATACCAAAAGTTCATGACATATAAAATAGAAAATATACTGAACACACTTTATGTCTGACTCTCAATCACATGAGTCACGGGCGGTTAATCCTTGTCTGAAAACCTTTAAAACAATACCCAAAAGACTCTTGAATGCATGCCCACAAAAGCCCTGAATTTTTTTTCAGAAACTTTAGATTCAAGAAAAAATGATTTCCATATCTAAGTCTAAAACCCCTTAAAACCATGTAAAATTGATTCTAACAGGTTTTTGTTGGGGTATATAACCCTCCCGCCCCACCAAAAGAAGAGAACCTTTCCCCCTCATTTTCTATGCCGACAGACGGGTGGGAAAAGCGCCAGCGGGGGGCAGGATTCTCATGGGCATATCTTTGCCCAGGAGCAATAGGCCACATATGCGGGCAATGCACCTGCATATGCAAGCACATCACCAAATACCGCATAAGCAGGGTCCCTCGATGCGATGCAGGCCACATGAAATGATTCAGCTACATTTGACAAAAATGATCAGAATAGAGAACTTCTACCTTTTATCTTCTTGTAAAATTAATAATTTTAAAAAAGATTGAGAACTTCTATCGATCAGACTTTTACTGTCAATTATAGAGGGTGCGGATGTGTCAAGAATATATGGAAGGCCTTCGTGAGCAGTCTATCACCATTACAGCTCCCAAATACCACAAACGATACATGCTAAAAGGTGAGCTTTCTGAACCAACCCCAGGTTTCTAAAGAGAGAGACACAATGGATTTACATCTTATGGTCACTCCATAGTCTAGCCATAAAGATATGAACTTGGCCAATTTTCCTTGAGCCTCCCTTTCTCATTTTATTTGGGTTTGGCGGGAAATCTAAGTAACTCTGGAGGTGGAGCTAAAGTCGCTAAACCCTACAAGAATTTGACAGAGAGCTTGACAATCATGACAGGCAAATTGTTCATGCCGGTATATAATTTTTCATTCATATGCATCCAAGAGCTTTTGTGGAATTCTTGGAACAATACTTGAGCACAGCGGAAGTTCTCATATTAACGTGTGTTTTGTTGCTGTGGCAGCTAGCATGAAGAGACGAGAGAAATCCTCTTCTTAAAGGAGGTAAGTAACGATATGCGCTCCAAGAAGCATGATGCTTTTCTTCAACCAAATTCCCATGAAACCTAGTAAAGAGGCAGTAATTTCCTTTCTTTCAAAGTTAGCTTTGTAACTTAAATTACTTTAGTTTGGGTTGGTTGAATCCATTTCAGGAAGACTCATTCATTGTCTCCTTCACCAAGACCTCAAGGCTTTTACTTCACAGGTAATCATCAGGCAAATAAAAAGATTTCACTCTTCTCAACTAATAAGATGCATGTTTCAATAATGAAAAATATCAATCTAGTTTCTGGGACACCTACATTTCCCCATGAACTTGGAATTTTAAAACAAAGCTTAGATTGGTCATTTTCTATGAATGACTTTTGCACCCTCTGTCATTTTACTAAAAGGTCCTGGTTTGTCCTACTACTAGAGGGGCCAAAAAGCCATTTACAAGAAAGGTGTTCAATCTTTGTAATTTATGAGATTCTAAGTTTCTAGAGCACCTGCATGACTTAGGAACTTTTGTGATCATTTCCCAACCATACATCATTTTCTAGCTGCTGTATTAAAACTTAAGGGGGCTCATTAATAAATATTTTGTGTATTGTGAAAGGCCTGCATCTTCCAGTTCAAAGCAACAGGTGCAGTTATCAAAGAACTTCTTAGCAAGGGTGTAAACATATTTCTAGATTACGTTTCAGAAGAATATTTGGAACAAGGAGAAAGTGTATGATGGCTTGAGGAGAACAAAGAAGATATGGAAGGACAAACAGAGAGAAGGAAAATGAGGATCAAACAAGAAAATGAGAAAATGTATCGATGAAATAAAAAATAGTGCAACGGGAAAAATAAGAAATAATTATGGAAAATACAAAAAACACACTTTAGTGCATGCACAGTAAATCTAATATGAAGTACAAGCGAGCAAAAAAATCTAATAGTGATCTTACACTCACCAAGGAAAGAATATTAGCTCAACAGGAGTTTCAACAGATAAATAATCGCATATAACCAAGCAATGAGCTATAAGAAAACTAAACAGCAGGAGTTTCAATAGCATAAATGATATTAACAAGATAAATAATCTAAAACAAGATAAATAATCTAAAACAAGATAAATAATCTAAAGGGAAACTCTAAAGCACTCAAGATGTAGTTTTGAATTGGAGGAGAGATGTTCTCCAAACCCCATCACATGCATCTTTTCTAGTGTGCCCAAAAAAGAGTTCCAATAGATAAATAATTGCATATAACTACGTAATGAGCCATAAAAAGAACTAACAGCCAAATGCAAAATAACCATATGCTAATAGATTCTCACGGATAAGTATGGGTAGAGTTTAATACATCATTGGAGGCTTTTCGGTATGTCACAAGGATAAGGGCCTGAGTCCGTAAGGTGAAGCCCCAAGGAGATAACGAATGATGTGCAGATTTAAATAATGTATTAAGAGGTACCTACAAGAAAGACAATAGGGGAAGGACCTGATCAGCAGTTAAGAAGGAAATGACGGGGCCAGTAAAGCATTTGTGCGCTAAAAAAAGTACTGGGGTAGTTGTATCAAAATAAGGTATGCTTAAACTTGCAATCCGGACCAATGCTCGCCATGATTGGATATAAAATTGGAAACATCTGTGTGTGTGTGTGTGTTTTTCTTTGGCGAGTGCGAAGAGAAGTTCTCTGAAATCTAAACTCTAAATATTTTGGAAGTAAGCGCAGGTGGTTCTTGTGTCGATGAGACCAGCACCAACGTGGTAGTATAGAATTCATAATTTCATATAAAAACAGAAGAATGATAGAGAGAGAAATTTAGTACAAGGAGAGTTGAAGGCCGGGCCAAAATCGAAAGCAAATTTAATGGGGCTCCGACACAAACAGACCAAGTGCCACGTTACCGTTCCTCGAACAGATTGCCATATAAATGCACAAAACTTTGTATCAAGTGTAGCTTTGCCTCAAACATTTCAAGGGGATATTATAGATAAACAGTAAGAGAAGTTAGCATGTCAATATGATAACCCACTCCAAGTTTTAGAGGTCAAATTCAAATCATAAATGACCATTTCCAGAATGGTGGCAATCTAGGACATGGTTTTCACCAAGTGCTTAATAAACATCAGCTATGACCATTCAAATTCACATCCCAGCATCATCCCAAGTGGGAAACACCACTGTGGCGGTCAAATTCAGTTAAGCATCCATATTTTGTGACACTCCGATGCTGTTTTCCACATTCAAGAAGCCTATAAAGGATGCCTATATCACACACATAAACTGAACCCATCAAAAGCATGAAATTTTAAAAAAGCAAGTAAACACAGGAAGCCACAACAATGTCAAAAATCACCTAAGAAACAGTGTCATGTATGCGTTATTCTAGAGCGTGCGTGCGAATGCGAGAGCGAGAGAGAGAGAGAGAGAGAGAGAGAGAG